TAAGCCACATTTTGTGCCAGAGAAAAAAAGAACAAAGAAACTGTTTTTAAATCCCTTTATTACACTATTTGCAAAATTGACTGGCAACAGATGAGCTCTGGCCACGGATATCAGTAAATATCACAGGCTAAGGTTATTTATTTTAAATTGCATTTTTGTTTTGTTTTTTAATATAAAATAAAGTTGTAGAAACACTTGCCAGTAGCATTTTGTGGACTCCAGATGTGTCTATAGTAGGTGCTTCATGTGATCTGGTTTTGCAATATTAAAACATCAACTCTGTATTTTTAAGAAGCCACACTCAGAGCAGTAACATCAACTCTCACGCCTAATGACTCTGACTGACTATGACCGATATATGCAGCGTTGCATTGTCACAGACAGCGTTTTTGCATTGTTTGTGCTGATTTTAACCGAATCTGCATTTATTTTTAGGTGGTTTGTTCGTTTGTTTTGCTCCCAACAACAAATATGCGGCTCGTTCTTACGTGCTTTCGACATAAACCACGGTCCATTCTCTCATGAGAAAGGGGTGAGAATTAACATCGCCTGTCGACATCTGTCTCAGCCTCTTCTACCACAAGTGCACTAAAGCCGAGCTTCTTCGTTCATGTTGAAATTCTTTCAGTAGTATTATGGTTAGCTTTTGGCTGCGGTTTATGAAAGTGACATCTTAAGTTTCACGGATGGCTAAGAGGAGCACCGCATAAAATTGGATTTGAATTTTTTAAGATATTTAGGGTAGGCCAGGCCTGTGCACCATTTTAAGGAGTCAACCTAACCAGTTTGAGTTTATTTAGTTTCAGGAGAAATTAATTGCATTAAAAACTGAAGTAACTAGTGACTGCGTGTGGTTTTAAAATGAACCACACTGGCATATATCTCTTGTCTTCATAAGCAATTAGCTTTTGTTCCTACAGAAAAAAAAAGATCATAATATTTCATCTTGTTGTTATAGTTTTTCATACTGTAAAATAAAATCAGGGTTTAATTAAAGTAACTGTAGGGTGTATTTACATTTTTAGGTAGATTTCTGCTTGTGTAAGCATTTTTAAAAATGTTGTAAAAAAAAATAGCTGCCATGTTTCAGCTTTCATTTCATTTTTTAAACATTGGCACAAGCTTTTTCCTCTTAAACATTGAGATGAGATGGAAGGAGGAACAATGTTTTCTAAGTAACACGTCTGTCCTGATGGTCCAGTTTATGCTGATGAAAATCAGAGGTTTGGATATGCATCAGACACTTGTTACTGTTACTTGAAGCATTTCCTTTCACAGTTTTTAGTGACGTCTTTAATGTGAAGGACATATATGGTCCGAATACTTGGGTAAAACTATTTGTGAGGTATGAGGTGATGATTCAAGTATCATACATCACCTGTGTAATGTCTTGAAGGAGAGTCGCGCAGGATTCTGCACAATCTTTGGTTTTAGTTATCTGTCATCGCCCCTGGTGACTATCAGGTGATCTGAAACTATGCAACCATTTGTAAAGAAAACATCGTGTCTCTATCAGGCAAAATGTAAACTTGTGTTTTGCTGCTTTTGTGATGATTTACTAGTTTTAATGTCAGCAAGGCCTAAATAAAAAATGTCACCAGAGGAAACATTTGTTAGAGGCAAAAAAAATAAACTTCAAATAAATTTATTATAGATTTACACCTGTGTGTAATTTGTCCATGAATGACACAAAGTTGTGTGTATTCATTGCGTTCACCTTTTGCTCATAGTTGGAGAAGATTTACAATAACTGTCCAAACCGTAATGAATGCAAGTTAATTTGTTTAATCGCTTACCCGACCAGTTTACCAGGTAAGAAAAATATTCTGAAATGTATCTCATCCAGTGATGTGAGTGTTGTTTTATGAGGTAAATCCGATTGTTCAGTCTGACATCACTAGCCGTGTCTGGGTCTAAACTCCGCTGCAGGTCCATATATCAAACGATCACTGTGGCATTACTGAGAGTTGAAAAACTGTCTAAAATCTTTCATCTTTAATAAAATGATCAGCGTTCTGCTCTACCAGGTGTAACAATTGAGTTTAACATCCAGGCATCCATGAAAACGGAATTTATGACATTTAACGGAGTTAGAAGTTAGCAGGGAGTTAGCTCGCTAGCTTCTATCTAAATACAATATAGCATGTCCTGACTGCGGGGTTTTGGAAACAAATTAAAACGTACAGCTCTGCTATCACTTGCAACATAATTGAAGACAGGAAACTAAACAGCAGTGACGTTTGTAGGGTTACTGAAGTTGGGCTAGCTGGTATATAATGATGTGCTAGCGACACAGCTATGTTAGCATAATATAAACAAGCTAACTTTTTTTCCACTCGATAAAAGTTAACGTGAGTGTTCTCGGTGGTCAGGAACAAATGTAATCGCATGGCAGGATGCTGTAAAAGGACCAAACTTCAGCCAGGAGAACAACTGAGATAATCCATCCACAATACGAGGTTAGTCATTCATATACTGCTGCATGGGCTGGGCTGTAGCTACATCCTAAGCTTTTAAAAACTGAGCTTAAATAAATGATTAGCGGTAATAAAAGCCGAGGGAGGTCAACAGGGATCACTGACTGTTTTAGGAGCTTTTTGAGATTAAATAGAAGAAAATACATAACATTAAACATGTTAACAACACAAAAGCCATATTAAACGCAGACTACTTTAGGCCCGGAAGTAGGATTCGTCACGTCATCACTTAACAACCGGATTGAGACAACTGTTTATATTAGTTTCTGTATTATTTCTGCTGTCCAATCACTGGCAGCATGTCTCATGTATTAATGGAGTTACCACAGGTGTTACAGTCACAAACAACACAGCCACTGGAATTATGTAACTTGTAATAATCCTAAATCTGTCAAGGTTTTCTAAGACTGGGTGATTAATCATATTTAAAAATTTCAGTTACAGTTTTTGGCTTGAAAGCTTGGATTTATATATTTGTTTCTGACTGAGGTTATATTAAAATTCAATAAAGTCCCCTTGAAAAAGATTTATTTTTCTAGACCAATAAATGCTTGATGTTGATGAAATGATTGAACAATCATGTTAAATAATCAGCAGTTCATTTCTGTTATACTCATGATTGTGATTTTTGCCATGTTGGAGCAGTCTGCGTGCCTCTTTGTATTTTGTTTACTGGTAAGTTTCTGTTCATTTATTAAACAAAAGCAAAATAACTGCTGATCAATATTTTTTTGTCTTTGTTTCTTACAGTTGTCATGAATAAGGAAATCATGTCACGTGTGGTGAAGAAGAGGCAGGCGGACCCAAAGGTCGTCCAGTATGTCTGGGAGGCCATCGAGGTCATACGCAACCAGAAACAAATCGCAAACATGGACAGGATCTCAAAGTAAGTCCACTGCAGATAACACGGATGTAGTAATGTTATTTATGAACATAAATGGCTGTGTCAGCTCCCCAGTCAGTGTTTTAGGTCATTAAAGGCAGAGTGCGAAGACATTTTATCCCCTTAGGTCATCACTGTGCTAATATGTCATCGCTCAAACTACCTTCATGTTGATATGGTGAGCTGTTTGAATCATTTGTCTGGTTTGGTTCTTTGATGTTCCAGGGTGACCGATATTTGAAGCTCTTAGAAAAACTCTTCCTACTTAATCTTTAATCTTAATCTCTCTAGATTAAGCTGTCTAGAATCTAAAAAGCTTTCAAATTTCTTTCTGTATTTTTATTTTTGTAGGGCTGAAACTGCATCTCATCATTGTCAGTAATTTGTTTGCTTGGTCCTTTATTCCAAGTGGTAGAAAACGGTGAACATGTTATCAAGAACTTTTTTTTTTCCACTACAAAATAATATCCAGCAGAAAAGCATCAAAATGCTAAACACAAGTGTTCCGATTTGTTTGATTGTTGTTTGTGGCCAAATAATTATCATCAACATAACAGATGCTTTTGTGCAGTTGTCGTTAATGTTGCCTTTGGCTTGTTATCGTATTCAAATGAGCACCATTTATCCTTGTGGGATGCCCTTGAGGGATTGTTCTTCATGTTTGTTTTTGAATTCATTTTAAATGTACCCAAAATGAAATGCGTCATACCTGTAATCACTTTGATCTACAGCTACAAGCCGTAATTGCGTGTTTTCGTTTAATCAGTTTCTAGATGTAAACAGTGAAAACTACCTAGACCAAGATGATGATCTTAAAACAATTATTTTTAAACCGTCACATTCAAGAGCCTGCTTGGTGAACAACTGCGTCATTCAGGGATAGGTGGACTAATCGGTTATTATTGTAATAGATTCAGGTCTAGTTTGATGTGTTTTAGGACTGTGCAGCGTTTAGTTTTTAATCACTATAGTTTTTGTTTTTTTTCATGTGTTACATAAAAGATTTCTACTCTAAAGCTACGTCGTGTTTCTGCTTATTACGCTCTGAGTCAGGCAGCTCTGTCTGCAGAGCGAGACAGACCCCTGCTTCAACAATGAGTAATGAATCAAAGTTTACTTTAACTATATCTTACATATATCCTCTAACTTCAGTAATGCATGTGTGGCAGCAGTTTTCAAAGTTTGATTTGTGGAAATAATACAATAAATATAAAAGCTGTTGATTTCTGACTGGCTTTGCCGTTTTAACGTGTTGATCCCAGTCTTAACTGATTCACTAAAAACAAGTTGTATATTAACACTAATTAACCGAGGCTGGTAGACAAGCACCTTCCATGTTTTGTGACAAAGCAGTTTTGAGAGCAGAGTCTAGTGCATTTGTGTCTGAGTAGTTTTCTTGCTGGAAAGGGCTCTCACTTAGGTCAAAAAGCAGTGAAAATGTTCTTAATGCGGTGTGCGCTTGAGTTGATGTGCGTATTTACGCTGATTAAAATCTGTGTTGCTTGTGTCTGTATACTCAGTTGTGCACAGCTTTAGTTTCGGTGTTGGTTTCAGGGTTGGACGGGTGTAGCAGGCGCCTATCTGAGTGGGGCGCGTCTGCTACAACCTACTTTAGTCGAGTCACTGAGCATCCCTTTATACAACCATATCTCCAAAAAAATTGCACTAGTGTAAAACTCAAACAGTAAAACTGAGCAGTTTAACTGAAGAGGTGAAACATTGTTTATGAATGTGAACAGTTGATCATGTTTTTCACATCTCAAAAACATTTTTAATATCACTGAAATGTTGCTGTGTCTAGGAGTGCTAGGTGTAATGTGATCCAGAGTGCTGCATTACTGTAAGCACCTTATGTGCTTCAGGAGACTTACTGTACTAAATTCAGTCATCAGTCACAATTACACCATTACTTACAGTACAAACGTTCTTCAATTATCTGCATTCTGAGTAAACAGGAAAAAAATTCAAACATGTCTTCTTCCTGTGCACTTGGCTATAATCAGCTGGAGTGCAGATTTAGACATTGTTTTTATTTTCATTTCACAAAAAGTTTAAACTGCGCCAAGGACAGAAAACAGATTTTGGACTTTTGGTAGGCATCTGCGCAGACCGCATGCTAACACAAAGGTAGCGAAGAACCCAAGCTGGTGATGTAGTTGAGTTCATGCTGGCCCGAGCCCAGCAGCCAGAGCCTGATCTTCAGTAGGTAGCAAGAGCTGTCAGGCTCGTTTCATGTTTCTGTAGTTCAAAGTGTGGCCATCACTTCAAAGTCTCTTTGGGTTGGTTTTCAGATTTGGTCTGCATTGTTGGGTTTGTGTTCATACAAGACACTTAAAAAAAGATTATATCTATCCTTGTTGAGATAGAGAATTGAGTCAGCGTTATAGTGTTATGTGACAGTGTCACAGAGTAATGAGCAATGGAAAGAATTACTTTCTCAGGTGAGTAAATAAGTAATATAGGGCATTACTTTTTGTTGTTTTTGTTTTAAGTAACAAGTAATGTGTAATACATTTCTTTGAATAGCAATCCCAACACTGACTCTTTCCAATGGATGAAATGGCACAGAGACTGTGTTGTTTACAGAGTGTGGCTAGTATCATAAACTGTACGGGCGCCACTGTCGGCCTTCAAGGTTAATATTCACACACCTGCGGAGAAAGTGCTTATGCACTGTTTAGGCAGTGTTGGGAAGGTTACTTTTAAAATGTATTCCATTACAGAATACAGAATACATGCCCCAAAATGTGTTTTGTAACGTATTCCGTTACGTTACTCAATAAGAGTAATAATGTATTCTGAAATATAATATATCTTAATATATTATCTTGCTTTTTACAACTACACGAATGTACTATTGCCGTGTGATTTATTACTATTACTGAAGGGTTATTATTGTATTTACATGCTTCCAGCTCTCGTTTTTGCTCGATGACAACTCGTACTTTTCCACCCTCCTTTTTCTCTCTCCTCACGCTCAGACACATAACGTGCATGGCAGTCCATTCTCCCTGCAGCACGGACTACACTGCCCATGAGGCTACAAGCTTTAGCGCGAAGCCTGTAGCATTCTGCCTGTTAGCTTAGCACAACAACAAAAAGCCACTCTCTCAACCAGGAAACACACAGTCGCAGAGAGAGAGCGTCACCCTGTAACCATGGCAACCGCAACGCTGCCACCTGGAACAACAGAACATGTCAAACAAAACCCAAACAGTCCTAACCCGCCACAAAATGAAACAGGAAAATAACTCTGTAACGGAATACAGTTACTCATATTTTGTATTTTAACCTCCTAGGACCTGCCGTCCACATATGTGGACATCACATTTTGGGTTATTTAGACCAAAATACTAAATTTTGCTCTACAAGGGCCTGATATCCACTTACGAGGACATTATACTGCTACTGTTCTATCGAAATTTTAAACAAATATCCTCATATGTGGCTCTCATTTTTCTTAGAAACAAAAATCAGGTTAAAAAAAAAAAATCTGGTAATTCTTTGTTTTTACATTCATCGGGTCCCAATATGCCCAGATATCAAAGAGAAATTAAAAATGCAAGCATGCTGATCCACACAGGTATGCACACAGGTGTACACACGGGTGTTCACAGACGCGGACTACAGCTTTCTTGGCTGCTGCCTCAAAGCACATTGTGCGCTGTCTATCTTGCGTGCTGCACAATATCGTTTATTATTTAGTATCTACTGATATCTACTGCTAGCTAGTTTATTGTGATGGTGCCGTTTTTTTTATTATGTTGCTCTTTGTTGTTTGCTTTCTCTTCTGTTTTTTTTCTCCATACAGGTGACCCAGGTGTTTTGTTTTTTTGTTTTTTTGTTTTTTTGTTTTTTCTTTCTTCCCCCCTTCTCACCGTCTCTTCTCCCCTTTGGTTTTCTTTCTCTCCCTCTCTTTCTTTCATTCTTTCTCCCTGTCCTATCCCCCAGTCATGTCTGTCCCGTTTGTAGCAACTGAAAATAAAATAAATTCATAATTATAATAAAGGTCAATCAAATGGACCAATATGGCAAGGCCATGATGATCCACTTGGTAAAATAAATCCGCTTGGCATCTTTCTTGGCCTTAAGACAACAATTCTGATGGCTAAAGATCCAAACGGGACACAAAAAAAAAAAAAATGCATGCCATGGAAGAGTGTGGGTCTTAGGAGGTTAAATACGTATCGGCGCTACATGTATTCCGTTACTCCCCAACACTTTGTTTAGGTTGTATGGCGTCGACTCTGACGAAGCGTAAATCGAGCGGGGTCATTTTGTAGATCAAAGCAGTGTAAAATCGTTCTGGTTCACGAGGCTGTCATGCATCTTATTTTTCCAGACGGGGAAGGATGCAGCTGCTGTCTGCCAGGACAGATGGGTCTCTGCACTAAAAATCTTAAAACCAATAGTAAACATCTGTTGAACATCAGTAAAACATGAACAATTAGTTTAAGTGGCTATTATTTCTGATAACTGTCTAGTACGGTCCTTTGTTGTGACAAGTTGGTTTCGTATAATTGACTAAAGTACGAGTCCCGGTTGATATTGCACACCCCTAGTCTGGCATTGCTGTTTCTATTTCACAGTTGGGTTTTTTCCTCAAGCTGCGAAGGCAAAGCTTTGGGTGTTGTGTTGTGCCCTGTTTATACTGGAGGGCAAACCAGACATGGATCAATACCTTGATTGGCAGCTGTTAAGTTCTGACAGTCTCCAGCTGCTGCTCGCTCATTGCCGTTCTCGCCATGTGGTCAGCTCTCCCTCTAATTGCTTCGCTCCTGCTGTAGAAACCTTAAATCTGCAGCAGGTTGGGGTCACGACGTTTTAACCATCTTGGTTTTTATCTGCTGCGAGAATTCCACATTGTTCAGACTATGCAAATTGATGACAAATCACCCAAAGCAGACCTTGCTGATCAGTCACTCCTTTCAGTTGGCGGATGGAGCACAGACTCAATGAAACACTTGGCACATCTCTTTTCAGCAAGTTGGCGAACACCTTGGGACCTGGCGGCTTGCCAAATGAATACTGGCGGCGAGTGGGTGTTGTCATGGTAACTGCAAGCACTGGCATGCAACGGATAGCACCAGCTTTCCTGTACAACCTCCCCTCTCTTTACAGCCCCACTGCAGCTTAATTTCACCGTGTCGGCTTTGTGGCTATAAAGGTGATGGGTGATGTAGAAGGAGAACAAAGTTGGTGAGGCAGAGGCTAATCTTTAACCAGCCAATCGGGCAGCTTAGAATCAGTTAGTTACATGTTAACCAACCTAACTGCTAACTTTAAATACCCACAATATGGGTTACAGTTAAATTTATAAAAATTTTGTTTTTATTCTGTTGATCTAACAAAATAACTGCTGTATCTGTTAAAATAAAGAAAAAAAACATTAAAAGATGCATTCCTTTGAATTCTTTGCTTTTGGTGTCTTTAATTGCTGTAAAACCTTTATATAAAACCCATGTCAGTTTGTTTGCCAACTTAAACAAACAAGGTGCGTACGTACACTGGAATGGGCTGGTAATTAAATCCAGGTGTGACTAGTCACAGATCGGCAAAGCTGGAGGGACGAGAGCTGGAATGATTTGTGGAGGAGATCTCTTAATCTGCAACTATGTTGTTAATCTGGCAACCGTTTTGTGCTTTATGCCAAAGCACCAAGCATTAGATGGTTCCATCTTTTTAATTGTGAATGTTTGCTGGCTGATTTGTTTCAATGTTGCCTCATTTGTGTGACAAATGAGTCAAAAAAGCTGTTTAAAAACTGTTATCTGACATTTTAATTGACAAAATGACTGAAGTCAAAAGGGATTAAAGGAGCTGAATAAATTAAGCTTTTACTTTCCATATTGTACTATAGTAAAAATTGGACTAGTTGCACTTGTGCATTGCTTAGAGTAGGACAGATATTAAGCTGGAAAAAAATTGTCATCCTGCAACATCATACATTTGATGCAATTTGAGATTAAAACTCGGTGAACTTCACAGGAAAAAAGTTGATTATTTTTAAGTGCTGCGGTTCGGAGGACGATGGTGTAGAGAGAGAAAGATAGAAATAGAAATGTCATGTAGTCAGTAGAGCTTCCGCTATCCTGGTCAGAGGACCCTTGTACATTGATTTCAGATCCTTTGGTAATACTCTCTGACTTGTATTCACTATCTATCCCCACCCCTGGGCCTATGCCAGCCGAACAACTCTTTCTGGAGGAAATCCTGTGGTCTGTCTGTTGGCTGACTGCCCCAGTAGACGATACATGACCTTGCTCGGAGAATTGTCCTACCAATCAGCGAGCAGCTGCAGGAATCGGCTTTGTAAATGTACGCTCGTGAGAGGGGAAGCTGATGAAAAAGTCCTCCTCTGCTTGCAATTTTAAATACCACACGTATCCCTAATCTGTTTTCCGAAGATTGTAAATTAATTTATGTAGCTCTGGGGTTTTGTTGGAAAATTACAAAACAGTGAGACGGCTAATTTAAACATGGTGGGAAAATGCAGCCTCTCCAACGGATGTGTACACGAATTAGAGCTGATTTAAGGGATGAGAAAGGTGTTGGTCTTTGTCCCACCCAGCAGTATTAATCCAAGTATGTTTCTGCTATGTTTTCCGCCTGCCTCGCGTTTTAAATGTTCATCTTTAGCCAGTATTAATTAAAAATGGCTGTCATTAGCACAGCTGCCTCTGATTTTCCTCAATTACATCTCCACTTCCGACTACGCAGGTACCTGAGCCGTGTGTTTGGCATGCATCCGAAGGAAACCGCCAGACAGTTGAGCCTGGCTGTGAAGGACGGCCTGGTGGTGGAGACCCTGACCGTTGGCTGCAAGGGCTCCAAGGCCGGCATCGAGCAAGAGGGATACTGGCTGCCTGGGGATGAGATGGTGAGCCCACTACAATTTATCAAGTTCACAAGCAGTTGTGAATTTAATGTCTGAGTTTGTGTTAATGGCCACAAATAGAAAGTAGTAGTTGGGTCTGCACAGCTGAGTGTTGATCTGACTGATAGCTGACACTTTTTAGCAGCCTGTAAGAGTTGGCAGATCGTATCGTTTCCTTACCGATCAATTTTTAGCCCTGTGTTTTAGCTAGGGGGAAAATCTCTATAATCCTATAAAACCTATTAAAGCCATTGTCTATAATGAAAATATTTGCTGGTTTTTAGTAATGAATTTACAGCATGCACACAGTACGTCTTTTACTATGTTCACAGATGATATACAGGCATGTTCTTAAGCAGTAAGTGCCAAACAGCAGAGGTAGCTGGGTAGGAAGGAGTGGTATTTCAGATTAATACAAGGCTTCAATAATTATCGCTCAGCGTGCATGTGCAGAAAATACTCCATCAGCTTCTGCTGTCGTTTGCCTTGAGAAGGAAGCCATCTGCTCTGCAGTTTTATTGATAGACTTCTTTTGAAATTTGCAATACTTGTTTTATTTCCCCAGTTAGTAGTGAGGCAGTATTCGCAGTGTAGTGATTCTTACAGTCAGTCTGTCACAGTATCTGTGCAGAGTGCACTATTTCAATTTATCACTGTCTGGGGAGAACCTTTGTGTATTTTTCCATCTGTATTTCAAAAGGCTGTGGTGTGCATTACTTTGCAAATGCAAGTGGGGGAAAAAGTATTTTGTGGCTGTTTTAATCCTACTGTTTTTGTTTCTTTAGGGTACAAAAACTGGCTGTATCAATGTCACACTTTACCTGTTAAACAACATTAGCATCATCAGTCATGAGTGAGCTACAGTGAAACATAATGCAGGAAAAACATAAATCTGTGATTTGATTTGATAGGAAACTAAGTTTTCTACTCTTTCTAACACAACTAACTTCCATGTGCTCATGTAGCAGTTCACACTGACTTCAAATTTAATAGAACAGGTTTATTTGTTATGATGGCAGACCAGAGAAGAGTCATGGAAACATAGAAAGCTTGATAGATCTGGCTCTTTATATGTTGTGGGTCATCACAGAATACTTTTGTGAGTGGAGAAAGGCATGGGTCTCTAAGGGACATGACACTGAGGCTCCAGTGGAGCCCAGGTTATTTTAGCAGGACTTTTAAACACTACTCTCTGAATCACTTGCAATCACAGGATCCAAAAGCCGAGGGAAGCAAGGTAAGGGCTGCATCGTTATTTTCAAATCCAGGGTTTGTTCTCCATTTGCTCCCCTCATTTTCCCCTCCTCTCAACTAACATCATTCTGTGAGAAATCGGTTCTGCCACATGCAGTGCAGTCGGGGATTTGAGTGAATCTTTTTAAGCAGGCTGCAGAAAAGCTAAACAGCGTACAGTATGGTCTGGTTGGTGCAAAAGTTAGAAGCCGTTTAAAATGAGATTGAAAGCAAGAGATCGAGTCTTTGTGCAGTGCTTTTGACTGAGTCCACTTGCTGCACCGTAAACGAATTTATGCACCCGGTTTCCATTTGAAAATCATTCTGCTTGCTGGACTAGAGTTCAGCAGTAATCGCACTGCCAGACATTACATGCTGTCATTCAGTTATGCTGTGAAAAGCTTCATGAAAGTCCGTCGCAGCGCTGTGTCTGCGTGGCCAAATTTCTTGCGGAAGTGATCAGTGATCTTTATGAAATATGTGCTTGCTACTTATCTACAGGTGTGTTGTTGCTTGATTTTGATAACACAAAGTCTCCTGATGTTAAAAAAAAAAAAACCCAGCCAAACATACTCAAATATCAAGTTATGGCTTGAAAAGCAATTGGTGTTTGCTTAAACTCAATCAGATTCTCATGTGAGATGACAAGCAATGCTAGCATAGCCGCAGGTTGGTAGCAAGCATTTGTGAGTTTGTAGTATTTTGGTCTTGGTAGTTGTAGTTCTTCTAAGAACAGTGTGCTCTGCTGTGGTCTTAACTTCTGTCTGGCATGCTTATTTTCTTTTTTTCTTTTTTCCTTCATTTTCAATTGATGAAACAGTGGAGGTGGGGGTGGGAGGGGAGCTGGGTGATTATGGTTTGTGTGGTTGTGCTCTTTAGTTTCCTCCGTGCCTGCTGCTAATAACACGGCCGACTGGTTCTTTCAGGTTAGTAATCACTCAGCGGACAGACCAGAGTTTGAATGTGAGCAGCACTCTGAAGCAGGGCCTAGATGGAGGCCAGTTCTCCCACCGCAGGTGCTTGGATTCAGTCCAGCTGGCGTGAGCTGTGTCCTCTGGTTGACCTCAAGATTATTTGGTCCTCTAACAGATAACCATGGCATTTGCACAACAACATAACTTTCAAAAATAGCACAACTAGGTTCTTTAAAAAAATTAAAGTTCAGTTTTAAAAGCATTCCCTCAAGCCAGGCTGGATTAAATCCAGGTTCACCTGATCTTACAGGATCAATTTCATTAAACGTCCCCTAAATGCTTGTTGATTATTGAAAGTTTGGTTATTAAACTGACTTAAATCTACTCATTTGATGCATGGTAATGAACATGATGTGATGTATTGATGCACTTTGACAGTAGTTACACACTGTAAAAGAGTCTACATGCACATTATTTCATTGCAGCTACTAACCCATTATTTTGACATCATTCAGCGAGTTTCGCTGCTCAAACACTGTTTTCATTCTTTAGATCCTCCCGAGCGAATTTCATTTGTTTTTGAAACTTTATTGAAAGCTCGACAGGCCTCTGAGTGGATATGCTCTTTCATCAGTTTCTTTACTGTGCATAAACACTGTAACTAACATCACTGAGTGCAGGGTTTGCCGTGGTGCTTAAGGGTGGGCCATCTCACATACAATTAATACACACAGGAAATGAAACACTTGACACCAAAAGAGAGGCTATTTAATGTGTCAAGATAAATAATTTTACCATCAAAGATTTTAGCAAAACAACTTGAACAATAGAATAACTTTATAGAAGGATAAGATTTAATATTTGATGTGTCATTGCTATTAAATATGTTGATTTGTGAGATTTCAATTACTTAGGCGGGCAAGTAGCCATTGTTGCAATGTTGCCTCCCTAGCAAGGTTTAAAACGTCTGCACGCTATGAACATAGGCTCCAAACTGCTCTGATAGCTGGAAAAACTCAAACTTAGTGCTTCTCTCTGAGAATAAACATTTTACTTGGGCCTGTGGAGAGAGACAGGATCAGAAATGCTAACAGAAAGGACTTTGTTCGTCATAGCAACACAGACATTTTTCATTCAGATATTCTTATTGAACTTGACTGAGTTTGATGCGGGCTAGCTTAACATGGTAACCTATGTAACAAAAGCCACTGCTTAGCTAACCAGCATTAGCAGCCTTTGATCCTCTGAGCCACTGAAATGGAGATAAATTATCTTAGTCAGCTCATTATTCTGTTAGTTGCTTTAACTGGGGCAACCAAAAAACCATCAGCAGTGCAAACCCTTGTCAGGGTTTTCTACCCAACTAAGTAGTCACAACTACTTATTCAGTTGTCACTATCATCAGGCAGCAGTACAAACCATAGCTACTTGACATTGCAGTAATGGTGGTACTGCTCAAAGGCAAACAAAAATGCCCACTGATGGTGCTGTAGTGATGGATCTGTGTTTGTAGGCTGGGAGTGAAGCCTTACAATGGAGATGAATCCTGGAGTTGTTTTTTGTGGGTCACAATAAGGCACGCTAGCCCTGCTGCTCGACCTTGCCCGGCTCTGTGGAGTGTCCCAGCTTGACACTGACAGTACAGAGCTGTTAACCAGAGTAAAGCTAAAGGCAGCCAACTCTCACTGCCTCGGTTCTTCCTCTGTCGCTCTCAAAGCCCTCGCCTTGGCAGCTTATAGTCGGGGCACATTTCTCCCTCCAAAAAGCAAAGAAGGCTTTTTTTGGGGGGAGTTGAACTTTAGCTAAGCACAGTTTTATAGTCGTATCTCTATCTTAGTGTTGGTGTTGCCGAGTCTGTATTCAAACGTTGTTATTGTAATAATATCTGTTGTGCTTGGGCCCAAATCTGTCCACACTTCTGTTAAAAGTCACTTTGCTGAAACCACAGACGTCGTGTCCTTGGCTCACAGAGCTCTGGCTTTTTGAAGTCAGCCACTTGTCTTTCATCAGACAGTCCAACAATAGTGAAGTGGCTCTTGACACTCAGCAGAACACGAGCACCATCTCTCTGTTTTTCAAGTGTTTGTGTGGGTGAAGAGACTATTACGCTTTAGAAGTCCTTTGACGAATCGGTGCATGGATTTTTAGAGTGTGTTTACATCTACGCGGACTTAAATTTTGAACCCTCCTTCAGTTCTGTTCAGCTGGGAATCTTTGAGGTTGTACTTCGTGTGAGCTCATTTTGTTCCCAGATAAACTTTGGACGAAAATATGTGGTCTGACCACGATCACTGCTACAGTGGTGAGATCCTGTATGTGCCTGAAATGGCAATGTAGATGTGCAGGTTTGAAGCTGTGCATTACCACTGTGGGTTTAAAGCGAAGCGAGCGAGATGTGATAGACGGACTCTCAGCTTTAATTCAAGGGGTTCATTGAAAATTATGCTTCCCCCCCCAAAAAAAAATATCTTAAATTTTTGTTCTTTAAAGAATTTTTCAATTAATGATTTAATTTATTTTCAGCCCTGTTAAACACGCCATCAGATTTGTTCATAGATTTATTATTTTTTTAATGAATAAAATTATAAAAACAGCAATTACATTTTGTAATTTGTAATTTGTGCAATCAGCTATTAAATTATTCCAATCGTTTTTAAAAAACGGATGCAAGTAAAACCCGAGGATCACTTTCTGACTTCCTTTCCTCGTCTCCTTTGAGTTTATACGTCCTCAGTTCCTTATTTCATTCGAGTTTGAGGCAATACGACATCATCTCGATTTGGAGCCTTATTTTAAACATCGATTAATAATGATGTGTGGCATAACAACATTAGGGCTCCTTTGTTTGTTTTTTTGCTAGTTGATTTACATTCTTATTCACAGTTACAACACTAATATATTTGTTTTAAACTTCACCAGTAAAAAGAGTTCTGCAAAGGATTGAGCTGTTCATCCTTAGTTGTAACTCCTTCAGTGAGCATGATGTCCTTTTGCTTCCCTGGCTCCTACAGATGAGTTTTAGGGATTAGGATATACTTTGATGCAGTGAGATGCATTTGAAGGTCCGAAAGAGATGCTTAAAAAAAATAGAAATGCGAAAAACCTGCAGGACAAATGAGTCCTGCAGGTGTTTTTTTTTATGGCTAGTTTCATCCCCTATATGAAGCAGCAGGTTACACTCCTGCACTTTCGATTTTTGTTACCGTCTTTTGTTTAAAGACTTGTCAGGATTGTTTAGGAAAATGCATTCTTAAAAAGATTTTCTTCAGTGTTGAGCAAGCAGAAGGCAAACAGACCTCATCAGAAACTCTTTACTACTTTGTCATTGCTGCAGCTATTAGCCAGTGCTTCACCCCCCTCAAAACCTAAACTATAGCAGCACATGGAGAAGAAATCAAGAGAAAAAGAAGTGCTGTTTTTGGGGGTTGTTTTTTTTTTTTTTTTTGAGCTGCACTCAGTCACAACTCCTGCTGGACCCACTGTGTCGGCAAGGCTGTGAGTGGGAGGAGTTGGACTCTTGACAGGCTGATAAGTACGTGAATTTCTAGTGCTTTTACTTCCCGTCTCGGCGCAACTCAGTTGACCTGCTGAATGCTACGGATACGCCGTGGAATGCTCCTGCACATCATCCATTCACAGGCTGCTCTCTATGAACACAACTTTTAATTATAGCTCAATAAAAGCAGGAGGAAACTCCTTTCTGGTGACGTAGCAGGGGCTTCTTACTCGACAAGAATAACTTTAAGTTATCATATGAAAAATAAAATCACCCTCAGTGGTTAGCACAGTATTTTCTATTTTCAGACTTTTGAGCTAAAGCTGAGAATCTGCGGTCTTGATCATTTCATTTCTAATCTGTTGCACCATCTTCGTAAAAACTGTGTCACCGGTCACAAATTGCCGGACTTGACTGTGCTACTTTTAGCAGGGAATAGAGGAGGATCACCTGGGTGTTGGCTGATACAATAATATGGCTGAATTATATGGCAATAGCTGTATTGTGCAGTTCTACTTAAAGTCCCTCGCAGGGAAAAGTTAAATGTTGCACATTAGCATAAGAAAACCAGATTACAGAGCATTACAGAAATTTAAACACGTTTGTGGTCCTACTAATGAGGATTGATGCCCGGCCCCAAGGCTAGCCAGTAATTGCCAAGAGAAGTAGCAGGCATTCATTAAAATTTAGCAAACCACAAAAAAGCAATTAAAACAAAAGTTTTGAAAAGGAAAGGTCGACAAAAATAATAAATTTATAATTTAAGTACGCCAAATAAACCTTCACTACTTTAATATTAGCATTTGTGAAGCCTCTTTGTAATTGTTCAACAGCTGCATTGATTTATAGATAAACTGCATTTTTGCCCTGCCGCTTCCCTGTTTGCGTTTATCTAGGAACAATCGAATGATTCCCTCCCGTAGTAGTGTTCATCACTCAGACCGTTCACCACATTCACACCTTGTAGGAACTCGGCACAACCACTTTGTTTCTTTTCATTCTTGTATATCCACAAAAGAGGGAAAAAGGCTTGAAGGGCTCTTTCTGAAAATCAGCTTAACATATTTTCTGAGAGGAAAGATATTTCCACCCAGATGATCTTACTGATTCACACTTTGAATCATTGACCTTTTACTCAGCTATCACAAGGACAGTGTTATTTGTCCAAATTAGCTTTTTTGGGCTAAATGACTTCACTGCTGATGCACAGTGTGTGTCTCCATAATCAGATTCAGGATGAAAAGGGTTTTTTTTTCCAGGCTATGTGAGGAAGTTTGGTCAGTGTGCATTTATAGAGGATTCCTGTAGAATTTCAATGAAATGATGTATTAAAATGTTTCTGCTGCAATGCACTCGGGAAGCAAGTGTTCCTAATATTACAATCATACCACCAGCTATTCAGTCACATGTGCTAGAATCTATTTGCATATATTTTCTAGACATATCTGAACATGAGCAGCAAAAAAGCAGTAGACTATGTTACCTGTAGGTTACCAGTCAGTTTTTGTTCTTGGGGTTTATATCTGACCTGACTCCCCCGTGTCCTCTAGCAATAACTTAAAAAAAATTAAATATAAAATCGAAAGGGAGTCACATCGCAGACATCAAATCAGGAAAAGGACGAATAGGATCCATATAGAAATCTTGATTACGATGGCGCGCTAAACCAATACAATTGAGGCTTTTGATGGTCCTTGTCAGTGCTGAGTAAACAGGTTGATGCTTCTCAGTGGGACAAATCCTGACACTTTCAGGAATTAACTGGTCTCTCTGCTCTGTTGCTTGACATCCTAGTGAGCTAGCTTTAATCAAGGATGGAGGATAGAAAAAAAAAAATCATTTCCTCCCCTGCTGTGGTTGGCGGGTTGGAGGGGGGGGGTCACCCAAACTTGTGCTTTGCTGTGTCTTCGCTGCAGGACTGGGAGACGGAGAGCCACGACTGGTACTGCTTCGAGTGTCACCTACCGGGTGACGTCCTAACATGTGACAACTGCTTCCGAGTCTATCATCTCAAGTGTCTGTCGGACGAGTGCAAGCCCAGAGACGGAGGATCTCCCTGGCAGTGCGTCGTCTGCAGGGTGGGTGTTCGAAGAGTGCAAGCACGTTCGTGAGAAAGTGAACAGATTCTGGGCTGTTTGATGATTAAGAATAAGGCTGGTCTTTACAAACAGATGATCCTACAGTCTTAGTCTTTTTTTTTTCCCACACAGAGTCGTTTCTGTCCCACACTGCTTTCTGTTTCTCTCCAACAGGATTTTATCTTTTAATATTTCAGGATATTGCCTTTCTAACAGCTGCCAGGGGCCATAATGACTTAATATTGAAATGTATTTCTATTACACTGTCAGAACACTTCCTGCAGTGATGTGATGTCTGTCTGTTTTTTTTCTTTCTTTCTGCACATCATCAGGGAAGTAAAAAGAAGAACTTAAACAAACAGGAGATGTGTAAATACCTGCGCTTCATTGTCCAGCGTATGAAGGAGAGGGTGAGAACAGCCTCTACTTTTACCCCTGGTTGTTTTTGTTGTTGTTGTCATCAAACCTAACTATGGAAATCCAGCTTACAAGATTTGCATGTTACAAATCCTTTTTCCTCCTGTTTCGTTACCGTAGTTACACATATACAGCTGTGGATGCTCACGCTGAGGTTTTTCAATAATAAGACCAGCATATGTGCGAGAAATTCCCGTGAGCCAAAAAGTCATGCTTCAGGCTGCTCTGAATGCTTCGTTTCATCTCAGGCACGCGCGGCTCTGGCTGTGACATCAGAAGCCCCGCCCACCTAATGTTTAAACGGTCTACTCGCGAGAAGCAGCCGATTAGTAGAGTGCTGGCTTAAAAGGTGGACGGACGCGAACTTCAACTGAGGAGCTGCAGAAAAACTAATGATAAATATTGATTGTTTTCAAGTCCAAGAATAAAAATATGGAGCTGAATCAGTGTAATAGTAAAAAAAGGCCTCATTATACAACCCTTCCCCTCATCTTTTCTCCCATTACGTCTCCATGCCCACACTCAGTCCCTCCATCTCCTCTCTCCTTTATCTCCCCCCCGTCTCCCTCTTAAAGGCATATTAAATCTCATCATTAACCCCGCATGCTGCCTCTATCGATGTAGACCTCCCAGGCTCCCCCTCCTTCATTACTCCGTCACCTTCCTCTAACACATCCCTGCTGTTCTACGTCAGACTGCGTTTTATGGTTACACCTCGTCTACGTTGCAGGCAGTGGACCTGAACAAAAAAGGCAAAGACACTAAACATCCCATGTACAGACGACTGATCCACACTGCACTGGACGTCTCCAACATCCAAGAGGTAACAGTGGAGCTCGGCATCATCACAGCTCCGCTTACATTTGTCTGATTAAGTATATTTGTGTTATTTTCACAGCCATTTTGACCTTCACTGTGCAGAGGTTGTGATTTCAAGGCTGTTTTCAGAATCATTTACTGGGTTCTCCTAACATCTGGGTTGTCAGGCTTGTTTCTGTGAGCTGGATTTGGACATCAGTTAGTTTAGAAGCTGATTTTTCTTTTCCACATTTTTTTTTTTTTTTTCGACAGACCTGGAGGTAATCTCCGTGAATTACATTGAAGCCCCTTTTTTAACTTGGGTTTAGTCTAAAAACTTTCCAGGGTCCAGAACTTTGAGTTCATCCACTCCTGAGTGGGTTCTGGCATCGTGGTATGAAACTGTAATTTCTCCACTGAAAAGCGAACGCTCCAGTGAGCTCTCTGAGATGACTATTGATTAGCTAATCAGCTTGTGATGGGACTAACACCCTTGTCAAGCTATTCTCAGACTGTGAGGTAGAACCAAGTATGTGCACTGGAATCTATTCTCAGTATTGTCTAATATATTGTTCTGCTCCGCTTTCAAAACTGCTACTTTAGCATGGCATCTCATCAGTGCTAGAAAGACTTTGGACTCACATAGGTACCAGCGTTTGATTGGGGAAGATCAAATTCCTCCCCACAGAAATTGACTCTGATCAACTGGAGCAAACATGAAACCTTAAATGCTAAAAGGAACACTTGTTACATTGTATTATGTACAGTTCAGTGATGCAAACACCTAAGACAAGAAAAAGTTAGCAAGATGAGGAATGGCCCTATGCAAATAATTTGACTTGAGTCTTAAGTACTGGGAATGGTTTGCAAATAACCATTTTTGCAAGATTTGTGCAAATTTAAAGGAATAGAAAAGTGGAGTCTTTGGTGTGTGTGTGTGTGTGTGTGTGTGTGTGTGTGAACCTCTTTTGTATCACTCACCTAACACACACTCAGCATGTGAGTGGACTCTTTGTCCTCGTTCTCCTCCTGAATAAATTTCTTTTCATTATTTGTGACTCTTTCAGAATCTGTCTGAAGGAAAGTACAAGACTTTTGAAGAGTTCAAAGCAGACGCTCAGATGATTGTTCACAACACTGCCATACTGTACGGAGGTGGGTTCAATGTGTCGCCACATACTGGTTATGAAACACACCGACCTTCGATTGAGGAGTTTGAAGTAAACCCTGTTTCCTCTTAACAAAAAGCAAAAAAGTTCCCAAATGTTGCCTGTTTTGTAAAAAGAGTGAATCTTACAAGAATTCAATTTTAATAAAACAAATATTAAATTTAGTGTTAGTCTTTTTAAATGTTTTTATCAATAAATTGAATGCATGGAATCATTTTTGGACAATTTGACAATTTTTTTTCAGTATATCCATCCATGTTCTTCCACGTATCCATGTCAGAGTTGTAGGAATGCTGCAGCCTGTCCCAGCTGTGGTGGGATGAAAGTCAGGGTACACCTGGACATTTAAGTCCCTTTAATCTGCCTCGCTTCTGAAATGGTTTTCTGTGTGTTTGTTTGTTTGTTTCTTTTTTTGCTGCCTTAAGATCTGTGGTTAATTCTAGCTTTAGACAATTTCGCCTTGTTTAAAAAAAACAACTGAATTTTGTAGCTTTTATCAGAGGATGAATGTCAGCAAGTGTCAGACTGAGACTGTATAAGTTGTTTGATGTCCTCACACAGAGGACAGGATTTGCTGGTGGTGGTGCTGAAGTCATGTGACTGTGGCCTGGTTTGCTTATAGCTTAACATTAGAGAGTTTTACTTGTTATGTTTGGCTAATTAACACACCGGTAACACGTGTCGAGCTTTTACGGCTCAACAAAATTTTGTTATTTGATCATCTGAAAGCCTGAATCTCAAATTTTAAACAAGGAAACAAATGCTTGTTTTTAAATACATTCAATGAAGCTTTAGAGAATCGTCTCCACGAGATGAACTCATTAGGCTAAAAAACAAAAAAGAACCATAACAACAAGATGACTTGCAGAACATTATTAAACCTCACAATTTCTCCTTGGATGTTCATTAAAATATTGTTTAACAGCAGCGCCTGCTGGGTTTGAAATCAGAGTGATCCCAAAAACCAGACTGAGTATCAAACCTGGAGTTAACACCGGAAACCATTAGGTTTACTATCACTACCCAAAGTGTTTCATGTCCTGATGTTTTAGTTGAGGTTTGGGATTTTTCTTGTATTAACCTTGATGTGAGCAGACTGAGTTTTGCTGTCTTATTTTGTATGTTGCAGTTCACAGCGACCAGGCCGAGATTGCACAGTTGCTCTTCAGTGACACGTGTCACGAGGTATCGTCTTTTTATCGTTTCCTCTTACACTCCAGTTTGGAGTTCATCGCGCAGCTCCTTTCATTAACTTTAATTAGTGACAAGTTGAGATGTGTTTTTTGGGACAATGAGCACTCCTTTGTCTCTTTCCTCCCACTCTCTCTGTCTTCCAGTTGAATGAGTTGTTGCTATGCAAGAACTGTTTCTACCTGTCGAACGCCCGGCCCGACAACTGGTTCTGTTATCCCTGTGTGAGTATAAACACAGTGGCTTCAACAGGCTAAATTTCCACTTTATTCCTTTTAGCAGCAGAAAAATGATCTTTATTTGTGCTGACGGCAGCTGAGAAATGCAGCTTTACTGTGCGCTGAATGTCTGTTGCTTTTACAGAACGATCTCTGTAAATGAGCTGATCACCTCTGTTGCATCTTGTTCCTGATGAGTTTTCTCTGTGTTGCGTGGCAGAGCCCCAGCCATGACTTGGTTTGGGCCAAGATGAAAGGTTTTGGCTACTGGCCAGCCAAAGTCCTGCAGAGAGAGGACAACCAGGTGGACGTACGCTTCTTTGGACATCAACACCAGAGGTTAGCACAACTATAACAAAGCACAGCATGACTCCTCTGATTGTTTGTTTTCAGACAGCGCCACATGCCGTGACTGTTTTACACCAGATTCTTACTTTAAATTACTTTTAAAATCATTTCTCAACACTAAACTGAAGTTGAATAGAACTTGAAACCTGTCAATCGTAATGGTTGTTCTTCTTTGTTGGCCTGCAGAGCGTGGATCCCCTCAGAGAACATCCAGGACATCAAGGTGAGCGTGCAGCAGCTGCAGGTGAAGCGCAGCAATGGTTGGAAAAAAGCGTGTGAGGAGCTGGAGGTGTACCAGAGCTTCCTGAAGGAAGGACGCTTCTGGAAAACGAAGATGGAGGACGGCAGCCCGCCACACCAACAGAGTCAGCGGCAGCAGCAGGAGGAGGGCAGCGTGAGGACGGACAGGATGGAGCGGACGGACGAAGCAGAGTCCAGCATCTCCTCCACCAGCAATGAGCAGGTCCGCCATGTAAGTGGAGCCATCACGCTTTTAATCCCCTTTTCTACTTTGTGAATTACAGGATAAGATGTTGGAGGCCAAAGACGGCCAAGAGAATGTCTTCATGGGGTTTTGATTTCCGTTAGTCTTCCACGTCTGCATACTTCCTGCGCTTTCAAAAACCTCTGTTCGTTTTCTTCGGGGTTGTTGCGGCAGCAGAGAAAGAAGAGATGGCCTGACCTCCCTCTCTCCAGCTGTCTACTGAGCTCTTCCAGTGACATGCTGAGACATTCACCTCTCCAGTACACCCTGGATGGGCCCAGTATCAGTTGTACACCCGGAAACAATCTTTTTGTTGTGTCTTACTTTCAAAAATAGCTTTTTAATGCTGTCTCTGTTTCAAAGCCCTCCTTAAAACTTAATGAGGGTTTTTTTTTGTTTGTTTGTTTTTTTTTAAAGTACAAAAGCCAGTTTTGAAGCTGACATGAAGGCCTGGAAGGTTCTCAGTTTCCCTGGATGAAAAGAGCAGCATTAACATTTTTGACCGGATAGTCGAACCTCTGGGAATAAATGCTTTGTCCCTTTTTGTTTCCAGTTTTCATCATGTGAAAACTATGACAGTTGACCCGGTAATGTTCCAGTTTGTGTGAATGAAGTTGTTTGAGGTTCGGGTGTGCAGTGTAGTTTACAATGTTTCTGCAACAATGTAGTAGTTCAAAAGAACAAACTAAGTTCCTCACTGCTCTGCGTACTAGTATAGAGTCAGTAGTGACTTTATACTGTGTTGCTGTAAAATAAATGCACTGGCCCATATGAGGACATGCTTTCTTTAAAAATAACAAGTACATAACAGGAAAAAGCTTAGACCTGGTTAGGATATAAACTAACTCGTCACAAAGGGCTAATAAGTTTCTACACAGTACCCAAAGATGCAAACATTCACAACTTGACCTTGAGTCGTGTTTACGCTTCCTGTGAGGGTTTCTCTTCTATAGCACCTTTTTATATTTAGAGCAACCACACGCCTCAAACTCGTCCTAAAACGCTTAAACACACCGAAGCGACAGGTAGTTTGATCGTAAACTTACCAAACCAAAAACTGTTGCATTAAAAAAAAAAAAAAAGTTTAGTTACGGAAACAAACACAATAAAACTTTAACACAACTTAATAAACCACTAAAATAAACCCAACTCGGGTAGATTAGACTAAAATAAAACAAACAGTGCCCTCTGGTGGCTGAACTGCTGCATTGTTGGCTGAGGGTTTTGTAATTTTCCGAGTTCCTTTGGATGCAAATCCTTAAATTATGAGGCTAATAAAACATAAATCATACTGACACAACTATTAAGGACACATGGAAACAAACTTGAATCAGATATTTTCTATGGAGCAGTAACTGTAATGCTTAAATCGGTTAATACATGAATTATACACTTAAAAAGCAGCTATAAAAATTTTATTGACTTAGTTTGGTAGATTTTTTTTTTTGTTTTATGAGAAATCCCTTATTAGATCCCAAGTTCCTTAAATTAGTCTAATTGTGAGTACTGATTTAGACATGATGATGATCTGTGAGCTGTTTAAAACGGTCTTTACCAGCCTTTAAAGGTTATTTTTAAACTACTTTCTTTAATATCCTTACAGCTCTTTGTTTCCATCTTTTCTGTCATCATTTAAGAAAGCCTGCTGGGACGCCAGCGTACTCACTGATTATTGACCCTTTCTGTTTTTTCCCCCAGCTCAAAGGCAGCCAGGAGCCCAAGGCGAAGAAAAGCCGTCGGAGTCACACGGTTGAGCCCAAAGAAGAAGTCAGTGTAAGCAGCTGTTATATATTTTCTGTTCTTTGGCTGCAAACTGATTTATAACCTGATGCTATATGCTAAGTACATGGCATGAGCACGAGGGTGGAAATATTCTGATTTGGGGGTATGTAGAGGGGACACATGACATCTCACTAAATCCCAGCAAGCTGTGGGTGCAAATGTTGTGCAGGAAAGTGAAGTAAAAGAAATGAGTGGGTTCTTCAGGGCAGTGATCAAAAGCAGACTTTAAAATCCAGCATGAACCACTTCAGCATCGCTTGAAGCGATCCGCAGCAACGAGTGGGTGGAAATTTCTAAATCAAGAATGCAAAAGCTCCTCGGTGGTCGGAACAAACATTTGCAGACAGATGGGGTTTGTGCTCAAATAGCTTGAAGTTATTTTTGAGGATTTTTTTTTTTTTTTTAAATGCATTAATTTTTTTTCTCAAAGAGAAATCCAGGTTGATACTGATACTTCAGATTTTGTCTGTCCTGGATTGGAGCTGCAAGCTCTCAGCTCTCATGTTTTCTGGTTAGAGTGGCTTATAGCTGAGCAGGAACTACTCTAACCAGCTGCAGGCCAAGATGGAGGAATCTGTGTGACAGCTGGCACAGAAGCATCCTGCTGTCACTTCTTCTAAGAGACATCACATCCTTTCCCTTAGGACCCGGAGCCGGAGATGGAGGCCGTCAGCTCCAGCCAGGAGATCCCGGTGTCGTCAGCACCGCAGCAGCCAGAAAAGCTGTCGGTGTCCACGCAGACCAAGAAGGCCAACGGGGGGTCGCCGCGCACGCTGCATCGCGGCACGCAGACCAACAGCGATGGCGCCTGTCAGAACATGTGCCACGAGAAGTACACCAAGGTCTTCAACGACGTGAAGGAGATGATGAAGGCCGACAACAAGAGGGAGACGGAGAGGGTCGTCAGAGAAGCTCTGGAGAAGGTGCGTTTGTATGAAACGACTCGGGTTTGTCTTCTAATGATGGAGAGCGCTTTGGACCAGTTCCAAACCTAAGTGTGCGTGTTCTCTACAGCTCCGTGCAGAGATGGAGGAGGAGAAACGCCAGGCGGTGAGTAAGGCGGTGGCTGGAGCTCAGGCGGAGATGGAGAGGAAATGTAAGCAGGTGAAGGAGAAGTGCAAAGAGGAGCTGGTGGAGGAGGTGAAGAAGCTGGTGGCTCAACACAAACAGCTCATCTCCCAGACCAAGAAGAAGCAGTGGGTGAGTTCAGTTAACCGAGAGCTCAAAGTGTGCCTGAATATAAAGAAGATTTCTTCTTTTATTAGTTATAAAAACGCACAAACACAATCTTCCAATTTTTTTTTGTCCAAGATGATTTTCACAACCCAAAGAAATCCCAGTGTCAGTGATTTAAAACGCAGATTTAAGGTCATCACAAGAAAAAACCTGGAACCAGTGTATTATATATGTTTTATTATTATCATTATAGCTCCTTTTCCATTAGTACCTACTCGGAGCCGCTCAGTTCACAGCTGTCTGAGCAGGTACTGAAATGTGACGGCGTCAGCCTGCATGCCGATTGGCTGGTCAGCAGCGTCACTCAAGCAGACATGCGAGCGTCTGGTTCTCTAAACCGCCATTTTTGAAACCCAGCTACGAGGGAAAAGGCTACAAAAAATGACGCCATGTTCGCAGAATCTGACGAAAATTCAGACAGAGCAGCGGGTATATTCTCACCTCGACGTCCACCTTTGCGTTCGAGCCACATATTAAGTCGTGTTGCTATGACCACGACCACATTAGGAGGTACTAAATTGTAACGGAAGAACAGTCGATCAGAGTTGAGTCCTGGCGAGCTGTGGCGAGTCGATCCGAGTAGGCACTAATAGAAAAAAGGTCTTGTTTACCTGTTTTTGTTTACCTTTGGCTGTTTCCTGTGCCTGCAGTGTTATAACTGCGAGGAGGAGGCCATGTACCACTGCTGCTGGAACACCTCGTACTGCTCCATCAAATGTCAGCAGGAGCACTGGCACGCCGACCACAAACGAACCTGCCGCAGGAAGAGATGAATGAACAAGCCCCGCCCCTACCCGACCTTACACAGCACGCCATTGGCTCTGTCCTCGCCTCCTCCTGTCAGTCAGTGTCTACAACAAACACAAACACTCTTCTCCCTCCTGCTTCTCGACTTGCCTTCCTGAAAACTTTGTGGACCCGATGGTTTTTTGTGCGTGCCGAGCGGTTTTGTTTCTATTATTTAATGTACCCATTGTATTGATTTTACTTTCTACGCTTTTATTTTTTCTGAACAGTGAACAGTTTGTTCAACAGCATGGCTCGAACGAGTTATGACCTTGTTTTTTTCCTCTTCTTCTTTTTTTTCTTTTTTTTTTTTACTGAAGTGCTAATTTTGTGTTGGAGAATGTGTTATTTAAGTGTGTAGGAACAGGTGAGCATTAACTGAATACATTTTATTACCTGACTTTTTAAAAGAAACCTTTTTCTTACTGTAAATGCAGCAAAGCGCACGCCGTCGATCCTACAGAACATTTAAAAAAAGGTACCGTAAGCACCATCGCAGCATCAGACTGACTCCGCTTTCATACAGAAAACCGATTTTAAAAAGGAAAAAAACAACAAAAAAAACATTAAATTGTGGATTAAAAGGCTCGCTGACTTTAATGCAATTTATTCTTTTCATAAATCGATTGCGGTGGATAGCACCTTTTACCATTTTTATTGAAAATTTTATTGTCCTAAAGTCACTTATTGGGAACAGGGTCAAAAAGTCGGCTTTAAAAGATGCCGACCAAAAAAAAAAATCTTCCATGAGAGATTTTTATTGTAATTATGCACATTTTTGGTTTCTTTTTTTGGGGGGACTAGACTGTTTTGTTTTGTTTTTTTTATGAGTTGGATGAAACCAGGAAGTTTTGAGTTTGTACTGAAGCCGAGGGGATGTACAGCAATCTTTCCTGAGCTGGATCTTAGAGAGGTTACATGATTTGACAGTTTTGTTGTTGGTTTTTTTTAGTTTTTTTTTTGTTTGCACATTTCATTTTCTTAACAACCCAAATGCTTGTAATATTGCCAAAAAAAGTCGCACCTTTTGATGAACCTACCTGAGAACATCTGGCGGCGACTCCTCTCCTCTCTTCGCCCTCCTGCAGTGTATTTAAAAGGAAAAAAAAAGATGTATATTTTCCGGAGCGTCATCTGTGTCATTTTTCTAGTGACGTACACTCGAGATTCCTCATCATCTTTTTTCCCCCTTTAATCTGAAGTGACTAGCTATGAGACTCTTTCACTGCGTATGCTGTAGTTGGTGGTCGGTGCCCGTTTCTTCTTCTCATCCTCTCACCCAGTGAGGCCACATGCATGTAGATAGTTTCATAGTTTTTTTTCATTCATTAAGGGAAAACAAGCAGGAAAAAACGACCAGACGTCTGGTCTCCATAAAGAAGTGATAATGGATGGACCAATATAAAAAATATGCAAATATGAATGATCAAACTTTTTCTTTTCCTCCCCCTGTGCTCAGTGTTGAGTGTTGATGTCTAATTACGGTGCTTAGAATCACTTTTATTTAAATTCTTTTGATGGGGCAATAAAATTGCCAGTTTTTAATGGATTTTTTTTTTTGTTTGTTTGTTTTTTGTTTGACTGTTTCTTCAGTTATGAAAGATGAGAGAAACTTGCTTTACCCCAAGTTGCCTTTTTCCTTTAACATATGAAAATAAGACTCCGTGAATTCTCACATGGTGGGCAGCCCTGTAGTTTCAGTGCTGTTGGCTGTGAACGAAGCCTCCATCCTTGTATGCACTACGTGCTGTGTTTTAGCAGTCGAATGCTTGAAGAGATCAGCTTTCTCCAACAGCAACATGCAATATTTGTCCCAATGATCACCAGCTAATCAGGCTGTTACACTTTATTCTTTTGATTTTTTTTCAAATAACAATAGAACATTTCTGTAACATTTTTGTTTGTCTGTTGTTTTTGTTCTTTTTTTAAAGACAAAAAATAATTGTGGGGGTTTCCAGCTGTGAGCCACGAAAAGCTACACTAGTAGAAAATATAGAGCTGAATTGAGTTTAACAAGTCCGGTAATGTGCAGTGAACACACAGACTCTGTTAAATGGGTTTTACTTAATCAGGCCCATTTTGTTCAAAGAAGAAGTGGTTAAAACTTGTTACTGTGCTGGATGTTTGTCTTCTTTATGAAACATCTGAGCGGTGCAAAAACACTGTCATAGAATCCTTATTTAATGTAGTAATTGTGACAAAATGCAACAACACAAACTAAAACGGAGCTTAAAATAATCTCTTCACTATAAAGTGCCTGTTTTGTTTGACCAGTTCACACAAATACTAAATAAACTACATACTTCTTACTTCTGTTACTTAAAAGAAATTACAAAAACACTTTAACAAAAAGGTAAATTTATTCACCAACCCTCAAAAAACCGATTTGGTAATCAACATTTACTTTGTGATCTGCACACTTCACTGCATGCTACCATGTAGGGCGACATTTTTATGAGCTCTTACTTTTACCTTGAACAGCTTTTATTGTGAAATTGGAGGAAATGCATTTCATTAACAGGAAGTTTGATGGGTAGGCTGGTGTAGCTCTTACGTTTCCAAACACAGCTAAAGACATTAATAAAATCAAGATCTCGAATGTCTGTAGCAACAATCTCAAATATAAATTTTAATGATTTTAATTTTTTTTTATTGTTTTTTATTTTATTCGATGATCTTTTTGACTTTTTTGTGGGGAAACTGCATTTGGGGGTTTTTTTTTTTGTTTTTTTTTGTTTTTTTAAACCATCAGATTAGTCCTGTTTACTAATCAGGAGACACAATTAAGACTTGTGTGAATTAATCACACGTCACCAGAGACGTGTTGTTGTCCCTGTGCAGTAGTTGCTCTGACAGATTGACACAGCCTCACTAATGAGATTAATTCATTGTTGATTTTACCGTTTACTGAATTTGTTGATAATGAACCTAACCCGTGATTTTTGGGCTGCCCACTATTAGAGAATTTACGGTAACTGTTGTTCCTCTGAGACGTCCCTCAGACATGAAAACTCATTAAATCCTTTATGATGTGATGTGTGCGTTACTCCTGTCATGTTCTCATAGCTCACAGTTCTCATCTTCAGTGCACTACGTGTAAATAAAACATCCTTCTGTCCCCTCCGTCATCTTATTTGTACATTGTAAATGATTTTTCCCCCTGCGGATGACTGTTAGTTGTAGTTTTTTACAATCATATCAGGTGTGTGAGTGTGAGAGAGAGAGAGAGAGAGAGAGAGATTTAGTTATTGTTCTTTTAAGCTTCTTCAGTGTGTCTCAACATTTCAGCATCT